CGCTGATGTCATGTGTTCGAGTGTGCCTACTCTCTGGGCTGGTTATGGGCCCCTTAGGTACGCATTCGATTCTTTCAATCGTGAGAATTTGGAGTTGAATCGCGTATTGGTCCGTATCCGCCACATCCGTATACGAGGCTTAAAGTAAAGATCTGGCAGCTGAAGAAAGTAAGTGACAGTGACGGACTGAACGGCAGGGCAGCTTCGAGTTCCAGAATGGATCGTATTGATTGATTGGTTAGGGGTTGAGGATAGTATTGATTGGATTCATTGGTTAAGATGTCTTAATTATTTGGTTATGCCAAAATAGGCTTTTTGCTCTAACCGAAGCTACAGCTTTGTTTGGATTTCGCGCCACAGAATGGATTGGATCAATGAGCTGAAGACGTCTCCAAGACTGCAGGCTCCCGCTAAAGCAATTATAGCAGCACGCACCGGCACCAATTAAGGCAGCTAGATCGATTCCAAACGTGTGATTAGCAGCTGCTGATGCAGCTGATGCGGATTCAGCAACTTATTCTCCTTCTGCGGATGATTATTAGCTTTGCAATCAATCTCAATCCGTTGCTTGTGTTTATAGAACTAAGGAGAATTTCATTTTCTAACCTCGCTAATGCACCGCACAAAGCAAAGGAGGAAGGAGAAGGGTTCGGAAGATGGGCTTGCAGGTTGGCTAAGAAGGTCTAATCTAACCGAGGGCGTAGAAGTCCATTACCAGCCGGCGGCTCCGGACCGAAAAGACCTAACTAATCCCTCGGATCGGAGAACTGAACGGATTTCAGTTAAATAGTGACATGACTTCGATTCCAAAGCTGGAGCTTTCCATTCAATCAAGTAAGTCTATCGGGCCTTACCTTAGCTCGAGCTACCCCTTAGTCTAGGACCCTTGCCTGTTGGATCACTAATAGGGTCACTTCACTCTCCCCGGGGATGATTAAGAATATATATCCAGAAGCCGGGGGAAGAGGATTGAGGAATAGGACCCGAGGGATAAGAAGACTGACTTTCACTTTCTCGCTTTCTCCGGCGCATATTAGCTTAACTGCGATTACGATTAATAGGCCGGTTTGGGTTTGGCTTCCTCTCCTCTGGTCAGACAACTAGCTCTAGCTTTGGCTCTCGGCTTACTGCTTCTTCTGCGGATTCCGCTTCTTCTTCAGCAACTGAAACAGAAATGATTGTTAGCTTTCCTGAACTGAATGAACTCATTCTCGAACCCCCAAGGGAGGGGCCCCAAGAAGCAAAGGCCAACGACTAGACGGGGGATAGGGACGGAAAGCCTTAAACGGTGGTATATGGGGGGACGGAACTCGCAAGGAGGAAGGAGTACTCCCGGGGGGCTGAGAAGGGTTCGGAAGGTTGTTATCTAAAGCTAGGAGAAGGTAGGCTCACAAGTAGGGCAGGCAAGCAAGGGCCCTAGAATAGGGGACGGGAACGGGCCTTAAACTAAATAGGGGACTGAGAAAGGAAGAGATGTGAGACGAGGTGGGAAAAGCACAACTCCGTCCAGTATCTTTCCCTGTTCCGATATAGCCTAATATCCCAGTAGAAGTGTGGATGGACCGGCGTGGATAGGGGAAAGCCTGTCCCACCATCATATAGTCCAATTCCTTTCCAGTGCCAGCATTCCTTTGTACGCATATCTAGGCGCAGTTCCAGTAGATGACCTTGTTGATCCGGGACCAGAGCCTGTTGACTAAGTAGCAGATAGACCCTCGGAGGGGACGCCCGCAGCAGAGTAAGCAGAGAGAGCAGGGGCAGGAACATAACAAGCTCCATAGCCGGTTGTTAACCTAATAGCATGATGGGCATAGACAGTACCATAGGTTGGTTCCAGATCGAGCTATTAAAGCACCTGACGGAACGGAACCGAAAATCTGGTAGAGGAAAAGGCAGGAGTCTATTTAGTAGACTTAGTTGCGTATGTTGAGTAAAGAACAGCCCCGTGAAGCTACGGGCTTTCCCTCTGTCTGGCGCGCATCCTTCCCTCCCCTCCTTTCTATCATTAGAAGCAAAGAAAGGCAGGAGCAGGTTTTTAGTCCCAAGTAACAGATTGAGTAGCTTTTATAACCTGCATCTAAGTAACTTCCAGATCTATAGTAACCATCAGTGTTAGATCCTCTAGGTGCAGGGGAAGCAAGCACCGAAATTGGTGCCTCTTCCTTTCTTGCTCCTCTAGTAAAGAAAGGATCACCTCCGCCCAATAGAGCCTAGCCCGAGAGAGGACTTCTCCAGTGTGGATCGAAATGGTCTCGCGAAGCCGGTCCCCGGACAGCCAACCGAAGACTCTCAGAAAAAACAACCTTGACATGACCTCAGAATCAGAGATCAAGAGAGAACTAGTGATCAAGAATGACTCGATCCCTAACTGACAGATTCGATGACGAGAGTTTCAGATTCAGGAATCGAAGAATTCTTCACTATAGATAATAATTCGGATATGCTGAACATCTTAGTCTGAGTATGCCGGGTATGTCTTTGCCCAGTGGATTGGAGAATCAATAGAGCTCGTGGTTGATCTTCCAAATCCCGATCCGCTTCTTCCCCTTTTTCATTGTATTAAACCGGACGCTAGCCCATTATATATATGAGAACCTGACGATGGTTTAGCTGCGGAGATCCGTCACCTTTTCCATTGGTCTTTGCTCTAAGCTTGAACAAGGGCTTTCTCTCTGCTTGAGTGGCTTGAAGCTACAACAAGGCTGGGCCTTTTATTGCTCTTCTCTTGTCCCCTCGGGCTTTGTAGTCTTTTTAATGCAAGCGGTGGAACTGGAAAACTATCAATGCTTTTCTCCCTGTCTTTCCACTCATATAATGAAAAAAGAATTCATCTCGGATACGTCTTCTTCCGTGATCCATTTCATGAATCATTAGAGTGCGCGTTGCGTGAGGAGTTAAGGGCTATTCCAGTCGATTGATCCTCCGCTTCTGGCCGTCTCGCTCCTATCGCTTTGTTGGCGCCCCTATCGCTAATCAGAGAGAGGTAGCGAATCGAATTAAGTGGCGGCCTTGAGCTCTTCTTCTTTCCGCCCTCTTTGCCGCAGCTATTCCATCTGGTGGTATACTAGAGTCGATAGGCCTGCCTAAAGGCTGCTCTTCTGCCTGACCCTTAAGTAAGGGCGGTGGAACTCTTATACTTCCTTTATCCGCTATCGCTATGTCACAAAGTTGGGTAAGCAGTAGAACTCGTTGCCCTTTCTTCCACGCTAGAAGTGAAAGCCCAGCCAAGTTCTTGGAGAATCTATAGTTTCTGGTGTTGGGCGAGATGGGGAGAAAACTCCACTCCTTGCTTCAGCCCTTCTTCTCCCACAGACAGACCTGGGTGGGGATCTCTACTCGAATAGAAGGCGCGAACTCATCGATGCTATGACAGCCCTTCCTTGCCTAACCGCTGCAGTTTTCTCAGGTCGAGTTGAGGGCTTGAGCTTCTATGATTCCTGTATTGTTGCTTTTGCGCCGGCTGTCTTATTTCTTTAACAAAAAGAAAGGCCAGTTCTTGTCTAATCGATAGTGGCTCGTTCCTCTGATTATGGTTGAGCTGCCACTGATTGACTAACCTCAGTCAGGATCTCTGATCCCTACGACATGATCTCAGGCGATCCCTCTCAATCTAGTATAAAAGCTCGAGCTTCTCCACTGCTCGATTTCACAAGTAATTGAGTGGCTGAGCTATAGCTGCTTGAATAAAAGACAGGCTTTTTCAACTCCCTCGAAGCCGGAACCTGTGCTATCGGAGGGCTACCGTCGCTACTCCTTCTCCGCCGTTGACTGATCTGATGACCTTAAATGCCTAGGGCAGCTCCTTCTTACATGGACTTGAAGTTCCGTGCTTGAAGTGAAGCTGGAACGAGTTCTTTCATAGCCCTATCCCGAGGATAGAAGGTTGAATTCTACTCTGCTGCTGACTTAGCTCGTCCTATCTCATCCCTTTCCTTTCTTTCTGTGGTTGTTAACCCGACCCGAAGATGGCTACAGTCCTACAGTCTTTCTTTCCCATAGGACAGTATGGAAGAAAAGTTCTTGATGAATGAGAATGTTATTCCTACTCCATGATCTCAGGTTCTTCCTCGGCCCCTTTCTTCTGTCTTTGACTTTGCTTTTTCTGTCCTAGGTAGGCTTCTCTTCTCGCTACTCCAGTCTAGTGGGGAAGGTCTGTTGGATTGTGGTGTTATGACTAATTAATAAATAGCGTATATATATAAAAGTGATGATATGATGCCCAGGCTAGGAATGTTATTCATAGTTTCATAGTAGGGTGCTGTTCCCTTTCCCGAAAGAAAGAGAAAGATCCCGATAAAAAGGAAGGAAGTAGGCTTCGGTTCAATCTGGGATCGAACTATCCTCTTTTCTTTGGCTGTGTCAAGCCAGTTCTCTGATCCGAGGGGGACTCTTGTGAAGTAAAGAATGTTTCCAGGGATCGAACCGAACTCCCACTCCAAGCTTTGGCATATGGAATAGAGTCTTTTAGCTAGTCTTATGAGACTAGCTTTGCTTTATAGAGTACAAGAGCTTTCCCTATCAGCTGTAACTAGATAAGAAAGAATAAGTCCTGCTTTGCTTATTATAAAAAAATGAAAAGTATAAATGGAAGACTTTCATTTTTTTATAATATATAATAAGGATTGCCAACAAAGCCTTTTGGTTTGGTTTGGGTCCAGGGCGTCCCTATATAGATAGGCACTGTAGTCGGGCTTAAGCCAGTTTCACCGAGGGTTTCAGCAGTGATTAGGTACGAGCTTCAGTCTTTTTAGGATTTTGCTGGAACTGCTGATATTCCACTAGCCCCAAGGTCATTCCCAAGGGCTGCAAGGGACCGCCTTGTCTAGACCGACAACACAACAAACAAGGGCAACTCGAATGGAACTATAAGAATAAGAGTAAGATAACCTTTTCATAGTACCCCTTTACTCTGCCGGCTTTCCTAGCATCGTTAGCCCTCCCTTGTATAGAATCCTGCTAGGGAGCCCTCGTTTGGCCCCTTTTGCCTCGCCTGATACGACATGGAAAGCAACATAAGGGGTCTTTTTTTACCAATGCAACTACATCGGCTTAGGACTTTTGATATGCTCCACTTTGTTGATCCTAATACCAGAATTATAAATGTGCATAGAAAAGAATTTGTTAAAACGTATAAGGAGACGGTCTTTACTCTTCTTGACAGGTATAGATTTGAGAAGAAAGATGAAAAATCATATGAAATGCTACAGAGAGAGATTGAGGAGCTTACTTTGAACTACTCTGAGGAGTCTCTGTATAAGGCATGTCCTAACATCATGGAAATGTTAACTAAAACGGAGATGCCAAGTGCCAAAGAATACCTTCGTGGGAAGTATCTTACGGATAAAACCGGTAGAATGACTATTTATGCTAAAAGTGGTTGTGGACATGAAAAGTTCGCCCCAGAGCTTTCTTCTGCCGATGTTAAGAATCTCCGATTTGTACTCTCTGATAGTGACCAGTCTTTGTTGAAAGAGTTTGGCGAGCATACCCTAGAGTGCCTACTGGTTCACACCCTTGGCCAACTGTTTAATCTAGATAATTCTGTTAGTCTGGCTGGTTTGGTTGAACGTATAGAATCTAATGTCCGGGTTTATGCCTCATTCTTGCGTGATAATAGTATGGTCAATAAGCCAAAAGATGCTGCGGAGGAAGCTGTTGATGATACTAAAGCCAAAACAAAAGCGTACCCCTTTGGTACTGCATTAGTCGAATTTTTAGTGACTCGTGATCTATTGCGTTTGAAAACATATAATGAGGATGAATTAAATGTATTAGACGGGGGTATTCCTAAAGTCAAAAGGGTAGTCAAAAAGGGTAAAGGTTATTATAGGAACTCTTTTGTTTATGCCGAATGCTTGTTTAACACCGCTTTACTTCCTATTAAGTTAAGTCTACCAATGGTATTTCCTCCAAAAGATTGGGAGCCCCGCCTTCCTGAGCACGACCGAATGTGGTTATATATCTCTGATATCTATGGTGGTTATTTAAGCAACCCTACTGGCCAAATCTACAGCACTCAGCGGTGTATGAGTACACCCCATGCTAAGAATTTCTTCATCTATTTCGGACAAAATAAGGATTCAAAAAGTCATGAAAAGCTAAAGAGACTTTGTACTTCCATCAGTAGCTTACAGCGTCAAGCATTTAAAATAAATAGTCCACTCCTTAATTGTATTATTAATCATAGGGCTTTGTTTGAAGATTATGGCTTCTTGATGCCCGAATTTCTTTCCAAGGCTATACTTCCCCGTGCCACTGGGATACTTAGAAGACATTTTAATAAGAATCGAGATATAGAAAGTATATACACATTTAATGATGTGTGCTCTCTATTGATGAGGAATATGCAGCAGGCTCGTTATGAGTGTACAATTCTAGATCTTGCTAAGGCTTACAATGGGTATTCTTTTTACTTTCCGGCATTTCTAGACTTCAGAGGGCGAATCTACCGCAGTGGCATTTTTCACTTCCACGAACGGGATTTAGCCCGAAGTCTACTACTTTTTGATTGTAAAAAAGGTTCTCAATTAACCTCTAACAATGATAAAGAATTATTTCAAATATATGTAACCGCTACTAGATTTCACTATCAATCATATAATAATGAGTTTGAGGCTTTAAGCGACGCGAACGACAGCATAGGTTATTTGAGGGTGCCCTCCGAATGGGATAGTGAGGTGGATTATATAAAAGCTCTCTTGAGTGATTCACAGAAGGCTAAACACCCTTTCCAATATTTCTCGAATATGCATCTCTTTTTGATGAGGCTTCCCGCAGGGCACAGGTACTTGTTTGGTTGAAGACTTTGTTTTCTTTGGGCATGATTATGCCTTATATCGAGCTTCTCTGATGTTGATAGGTCCCCGGATGGGGTGTGAAAACATCGTTTCTTTGTTCACTTCGTAAGAGCGTGATCAAGATCAATCCCTTGAGTCGTACAAGCCCATTAGTTGATTAGCTCTCTAGGGCAGCAAGGGAGCTTCCTTCTTTCTCCCTAAGCGTAAGCGCTATCGCTATCCGTTAACACCACCCACCATTACCCGCGCACCCTATCTTCTATCTTCATTCTCAATAGGAGTTCCCTGTTGGGAAGTGAGTTCCATCTCTCAACATAATGTAGCAAGATTCTATCCCGTAATAGCTTCTTCATGGCATTACCAGTCCTGCTGTTGATTGGGTCGCATCTGAATTAGCTGTCAGCTGAATGTTGCTAGCTGGTGCTAACCCGTTAGCTCGCTCTTACTTGCTAGTGAGTCAAATTCTTTCAAGATCCCGTCTTCGGACTACTTCTTTTCATTCTTAGTTCGATCCATATCTACCACATATGCTTGATCTGCCAGAAATTCCATATCAGAGAGATTGACTGCGCCCAAACCAAAGGGCTTCTTCTTTCTTTCCCAAGGCCATGAAAAAAGCTGCATCCGCTTCGGTCGCATTAGAATAGATTGAAGAGTAGGTCCCATTGGCTCTCGCCTAGGAGTAGTACCTCCCTTCCCTTTCCCTCGCCCGCGCCCCATTTCATCTTTTCTTTTGAAACTCGCTACCCATCGCTAGGAAGTCAAATTCTTTTTTAATTAGTTCGCCGGAGTAGCCTCTCTCGAGGGAGTTTGTCCCTAGATTTCCTGATTCAGAAAGGTGAGCACAGCACATGGCCTTCTTTATAGATTCGTTTGTCCCATGCATCGCTACTAGTCTTCATTCTTGATTCCTAAGCTCGCTCTCGCTCTGGAGTAGTACCACCTCCGACCCTCGTCCCATACTATTGAGTTTCTTCGGTCCGAAGAGCCCTAGTAGTCAAATTCTTCTTCCATTCTATGGGGCATGATTATAGCTTATATCGAGAGTTTCAGTTGTTGATGAAATAGGTTCCCACCTTTGTCTATCTCAGAACACCTATGTCAAGCAATGGGGAAAAAGTCTGCTGCTTCATCAAGGAAGCGATCCAAAGGCATCCACAAGCATCTGGAATTGGAAGGGAGCTCGGTCGGAAAGGAAGCGAATTCTTTTTATGCCGGTCAGCGCCTAGTGAGTCTCTTCCTTCATCCCGGGAAAAAGGGAAGCCCTATATAGTATAGATAGAAGGGTGACTTCATCTGCGATCTCCGATCTTTCTTCCCTGAAGCTCAAGAGGGGGCTAGGCATCTCCAATCAGTGTTCTGAGCAAACTCCGCATCTTTTCTCTGCGCTTCACGTAGGGTTTGGGAGGAGTGGTTCCAAGGGATCCTATGCCAAAAGCTCTTTCAATTCGATTGGCTTTGCCACCTAGGCGTAGGCGCAAATCAAGCAAAATCAAAGAAAGGGTCGCTCCTCTTGCTTAGCGCTACGTACGGGTCAAAAGAGAAAGAATGAAGCGAGATTAGCTGCGAGAGCAGCAAGGCTTCCATATAGGTAATCAAAGGACTAAAAGATGAGTGATCCATCTGACTAAACCGCGGAGGTAGAGCTAATCAAGATGAAGAGTAAGGGTTGGCCTCTTGGCCGAAGATGCGAACGATAAGAAAAGACTTTGTGCCATGGATGCAGCCGATTTGAATGCCAATTGTACGAAAATCGTTTCAGTAATGAATGGGGACGATGCGGTAAAAGATCAACATCGTAACCGTCACAAGGGGGAAGGAAGGCGTTGAAGAAGACCATTTTTGATGCCCTATCGATCGTAGATCGGAAGTGACCGAGAAGACGTTCAATGCTTGTGTTCTATCCCACGTCAGGGCTATAGCGAGACAGATAGAATAGAATGTAGCGAGGGGCGCGAGGAAGCAGGACGAGGCATACAAACTACATAGTGAGGACGACCCCCGAAGCTCTTGGGCGAAGTCCGTACGTAAAAAAAAGAAAGAAATGCGGCAAGAAGAGAACGGATGGGCTACTGCAGCGGGAGAGTCCGCTAAGCGATGACCGGAAATCCAATTCATATCGTCTGAGGATTGTCTTGCGCCTAAGCTAGCTGTATTTTAAGCTTCATGTAGATCCGATCCTTCGATCAACCTTCCTTTTATTTCGGCCGCTAGGAAAATGCTGCTGACAACTTTGCTCGTGTCCACTATACACAATTGGCAAGGCCAGTCCAGTTGTCAAGTCAGTACTACCTCAGCTCTTCGACCATGCTATGACTAGGGGAATACCCTTAACCATTAGTCCCATACCCTCCAATAGCCTTTCGCTTTCTGTCTTAGGTTGTGAACCCGACATGGTTTGCGTGATTTCATATGGGTTTTTCAAGTGAAGCAGGTGACATATAGTTGATAGAGCGCGTGGATCTGTTCAAAAGAAGTCACCCACTAGGAGAGTCGCTTAGATAGTATGCCTCGACCGGAAGACAGTCTCTCTCACAGTAGGGATGCTCTAAGGTTCGAATTACTATCTCTGCTGGTGATCATCTTCTTTGTCCCGGTATAGAACTTCTCATCGAGTGCTTTCTTTCTCCATTGAAGTTCACCCTCATCTTCCTTTTCCTTCCCCACCCGGGTTCGAGAGCGGTCCGACAAGTTGAGACGAAAGATGTGAAACTTCATTCAGTGAGATTGGGTTAGTGCTTGTAGAATTGGATAGCAAGATGGGCTTAGTGCCCTAGGAGATCTTATCTTATATGGATATGGTATATAATAATAAACAAAATTAAGGTATTTACACCGTATGTACAGAATAATATACAGCTAATAGTGCTCAGTCTACGAGAGGATTGCCCGTCTTGTTGGTTTGAGTTTGAACCGAGCGTGGAAAGAATTGAATTGTGCATGAATTGCTTATCATTGAAAAGAAATGGATCAAGAAATAGCGTTTTAGAATAAAAGAAAGAAATCGGAAAGGCTGAAAAGAGCCTTCTTGCTTGTCTAGCTCTGCAGCTCGTAAAGGGCTAGATCCATAACACTCACACCTGGCTACTCGCTCTGTTGCGGATTTAGCTTAAGTGTCCGTTTCGACTGATTCTTTAGTTGAAGCTACTGATGCCCTATACTGACCAGCTCCTTTCCTTCTCTAACGTTTGACGTATGATAAGCATTGCTTTGCTTCTTTCTTTGCTATGAGAGTGAAAGCTGCTCAGAAAGGTCTTGCTTTTTCTATTACCGAATCGACTGCTAACAGCCAGCCTTACCTTAAGCGCGTTACAAACTATTGTTCTTGACAGGTTCACCCCTACACTGGGGAGCAAACTGCCTATCTGGGAGGCTTTCGATGGGCCTATTGGGGTGGGGTCAAATTCTAACTTCCGCTGTTGGACCAATACCCCTTGTATTCCTCCAGGTCAAATGAAAGTGTTGATTTTTGTTCTTCTCTATCTGCTATTAATACGTATATCGCCCTCCTGAGAGGAAGATTTTTTCCATTAAAGGAGCACCTCAACAGCAGGAGCTGGTATGGACTTTGCTTCCCTCCGTGGATGAACCGTCTTGATTCATTCCTTTTCTTCCGTCATTTATGCACTTCTTTAGGAAAGAGCTTTGAGACTTCCTGCCCAAGGAAGGAGATAATGTGAACCAATAATGAATGCGATTATCAAAGAAGCGGCTAGACATAGGTCAAAGGTACAACCGCTACCGCCAGTAGGATTTCCTTGCTTTACTAACCTACGAACCGCACCGTGGGCACCACGAAGGGACTAGTGTTGGAATAAGAGTCGAAGACGACGTGGACGTCATACAACACAACACAAGCAAAGACAGGAGGTCATTTCCATCCCGAGTCTCAAACAAATAGGGTTTTGTTAGTTTCCTTGCGGCTGCCCTAATAATCTATAGGATTTATTCAGCTTTCTCTGAGGCTTGAGAGTCAGTGCCTCTTGCCTTTTCCCAATCAGAGTTAAGCTAGCTCATTTCAAGAAAGCAAACAAGTGCCCGTCAGGCAAGCCTTTAAAAGTGGAGTGGTAGTTTTCTTTTATGTCATGCCAGTTAAGGTAAGCTCTCAGTGGATGCCATTACTTGACTCAATCTATCCGGGTGATCGAAGGCGTATCGCGATCGACGCTTCTTATACGTTGCTTCGACAGCTGTGTACATCCCCAGCCAATAAGAGAAGAGGAGTGGGTACCAGACTCCCTAAGAGGAGATAACAGTGGCTCCGCGCCCCCTAACTACTGAAGTTAAAGAGGTGGTTGAGTAAGGCATAGATCGCTGATTCTCTGAATTTCATTCTTTGAAACTACGCGCTAGACTAGACTACCCTCTATTTTAATAGTCAGATTTTAGATTATTGGCTATTCTATAGAATAGAAAGAAGGTCTTGAAGAGCCTCGTCAAAAAGTACGCCCAAAGACTGATTTCCTTTAAGCAGAGACCCTTTTTCTGTGAGGGGCCAGTCTTTCAGTAATTTCCGAGGGCAATAAAAAAAGTTCTTTATAGGTTCACGAACACGACCCGGCAATCGATTTCCTACAACCCCATGGAATCTCATTCATTCAAATTGTATAAAAAAGAAAGAAATCGGATGAGACTTTCATTCTTACAATTCGTATTATCGTAGTAGAAGTAAGAAAGCAGATTTACTAATCAGTTTATTCGCCATGTTAGGAGAAGGGGATGGTCGATGGAAAGAAAAAGAAAGAGCTTAGAATGCAAGCTTCACTCCATCTTTGAGAGTATGGAACTAAGAAGTGGCGGTTAGCGCACCTGCTTCCATTTTATTACGTCTGTCAGCTTTCTTCCTCGAGTGCTTGAGTAGAGGCTTATGGAAAGGCCTAACTGCTCTTTTAGTGAACTTGTTGTGTCCATCTGCTTCACTTCAAAAGAATGACGTAGATATATATACTAGAAAGAAAGCATAGAAAAAATTCTAACTTTAACTATAGGAATAGGAATAGGAATAGGAATAGGAATAGGAATAGGAATAGGAAAAGGAAAGAATTTCATATTATGTATATGTTTAGGACTGGCACACTTGCAAGAGAGGGAATCGAAACAGCTGACTTCCTTATATTCGCGTTATAGGTAGTTAGCAAGTTAATAAGGGAATAGTATATTATATAATACCTTAAGTGGGTTGCTATTATTAGAAAAAATAGGTTGTAATAAGCAGACAGAAGGGTTATCTTCTGTCTTTTGTTCTAAGCTAGCCAACCATGAACGGTCACGGTCGACAAGAGTCAAGAGTGCTTCTTCTATGTATCATGATACAGAAGCCAAGGTAATCGGCACGATTGAACTTGCTTTGATCTTAGGCTCGCAGCTACTAGTGTGTACCCTTTTACCTAGCCCTCTTTTTTGGCACAGGCATAGAAATAAGGCTTTCGTAAGAGGCTTTTTTGTACTAGCTTGAGTCAGCCCCCTCGACTCATTTCATCAAATAAGCTGTCTATCCGTCTGACACCTTGACTTCATCGCCTTGCTAGCGCAGTATCAAAGAGCTTATTCTCTTCCTCGACGTGCCAAAGCCTATTCGATAGGTATCCTTTTACGCTATTTGCTTCGATGCTTTACTACTCTTGAATGTCGGAAATCGGATTCTCTTTTTTCTTCTTTCTTGTCTGAGACTGATGATAGCTTAGAAGGAAAGTGAGGCACTATTCGCTAATCAGGAAAGAGGCTTGACTCTTGCTTATCGATCTCTATTCCTCCTCGTACATTAAGCAGAGCAGGGAATAGGAATAGTCAAAGAAAAGGTCTAGAGCAAGAGAATCTAGCTAGTTCGATTTGAACTAATCCGAATCCGGCTGTTCGGGAGGGACTGATTTTCGGCAGTATGGCTAGTTTCCTTCCCCCTTATTTAGAGGGGTTGTTAGCAAGTTCAGTTAATCAATAGTAGAAGATATCCCCACCCTCTTCTTTTTTACCTGCAAAGTGACCTCAGCCGGCATTCCAGAGACCTTTGTTCTTTGAAGCGGCTTGGTTGACTCATACTCATAAAGAAAGAGTTTGGTGAATTTGTGAAGAAAAAATTGGAACTGAGGGGCGCGTCTGGTGGTATCGTATATAAAGGAGGCAACTTTTTTTGGAGGGGAGCAGAGCGACAAAGTAACCTTTACTTTATTTAATGAATCAAAATCACCCATCCATAATTGATTCTAACCCATTGACTGATCACTCTCAAAATGTATTATACGATTTGTTTGCCTTTGTATTGAGGGAGAATCCTTG